TTCTCCGGCTTTTTAACGCAGTGTTTCTCCGACTTTTTAACGCAGTGTTTCTCTGACTTTTTAACGCAGTGTTTCTCCGGCTTTTTAACGCAGTGTTTCTCCGACTTTTTAACGCAGTGTTTCTCTGACTTTTTAACGCAGTGTTTCTCCGATTTTTTCTGTCATGCCCACATTTGGAAGCAGGTGACCTTTCATCACCCCCCCCCATGTACCCACCCTACCTGTACAATTTTTTAGATCAGTCATATATATGTCCATGTTATACTTCATGTTTGTTTCGTTGTCTGAACGAAAAAAAACCCAAAGGCACTGTTTGCTGTTTCTCCTAATTGAAAAACATATATTAAGCTTTGGTTCCGCTGAGAGCATGTGAGCAGAGTGGAACAGCAGCGAGCACGGAAGGATTTTGGCCAAGCAGAAATTCTCATCGCTGCGCTCTGCTTGCATGCTATTTCCCTACACATTTTAGCACACTACAGTCCCATGGGGGGGGGGGGGGGGGGGGTACACCACACACTTTGAGAATCACTGCTTTATGGGTCTGTTTTCACTGGTCTGCTGTGACCTTCCTTCCAGGGTCAGTCTGCCAAGTTTAAGAAGTACATAGCTCACAGCGCCCATGTGACCAACGTGCGCTGGTCACATGACGACACCTCACTGCTGACCGTGGGCGGGTCCGACACAGCCCTCATGATCTGGGCCCGGGAGCCTTCTGGGAACTGGGAGAACAAGCCAGTGGACAGCGAGGAGTCGGACGCAGACGCAGAAGAGGATGGGGGTGAGTGTGCCAGCGTGGCGGGGCGCCGCCTCTCTTCCGACCTTTGCCTTGGGCCTGACCGCGGTCTCCACAGGGTATGACAGTGACGTGGCCCGCGAGAGAAGCCCCGCCTACACCCCCAAGGTGTCTGCGGCCAGCGTCCGGGAGATGTGTGGCGTCAAGCCACCCCAGCAGCAGCGGGATGTGATACTGGAGGAGAGGTACCTGACTGGCACTGTCAGTGCTCATTGTTATAAAGAGCTTACCAATGATGCGAATGTGGAAACATTCAGTATGAGAACACAATTAGCACAAGCATGTAGTGTCACCTCAGACACGCACGTGTCCCATGCGAGACATCAGAGACATCATGTCTGCTCAAATCCAGCCAAATGCAGCTAAATTCATTAATAATACAGATGGACAATGACCCAAAAGACACAGCAAAAGCAACCCAGGACTTTAATAAAGCAAAGAAGTGGAATATTCTCGATTGGCCAAGTCAGTCACCTGATCTCAACCTCATTGAACATGCATTTCACTTGCTAAAGACTAAACTACAGACAGAAAGACCCTCAAACAAACAGCAACTGAAAGCTGCTGCAGTAAAGGCCTGGCAGAGCATTAAAAAGGAGGAAACCCAGCGTCTGCTCATGTCCATGAGTTCAACACTTCAGGCAGTCATTGTCTGCAAAGGGGTTTCAACTAAGTATTAGAATTGAACATTTTATTTGCAGTTATAATAATTTGTCCAGTTACTTATGAGCCCCTGAAAGGAGGGGATTGTGTAGAAAAATTACTTTAGTTTCCCACAGTTTGTTTTTGTTCTACCCACTGAATTAAGGCTGAAAGTCTGCACTTCAACTGCATCTGGCTTGTTTCTTTTAAAATTTATTGTGGTAATGTACAGAACCTAAAAAAAGAAAAACTTTGTCTCTGTCCAAATATTTATGGTCCTGACTGTATATAGACACTAACCTTATTGAGGTGTGAACTTTCCTAATAACTGAATCAGATAAAAAAAAACACCTGTTTAACCAAAGACAGCCAGGGATGAAGGCACATAGCCTGCTAGGAAATGTAATTCCAAAATCAACAAAGTTTGTATAAAGTATGTCTCAGCCCATAGCAGAAGTGATTTCTTTCTTCATTTTATGAAATACTCCCCCCCTTTCATCAAACTTTCATCCTGGTGAAAGTTTAATAAGGCCATATAACATTAATGAGGGCATAATGTGATGACTGCGTGCCGGCGAGCGGGGAAACAGGCGAGAGAGCCGTGAACACGATCAAAACGGGGTTTATTCAGGTTTGACGACGACAGAGGAGCACATGGCAAATTCACATCAATGACAGACCTGGACTAAATACACAGGACAAGCCGAAAATAGCAGGCAACAGGTGATCACAATTGGGAATTAACACGAGGTAACTAGGGGGGCGTGGCACACAGGAGGATCGGACGAGCAGGTCATGACACATAAACTATATATAATTTCTCCTTCCTTCTGTGTTCATCTTTATTTCATTTTCAGTTTACCTAAATTAAATTCTTCAGCAAATACTGCCAAATTTCTAGTGAAGATAAATGTTATCAGGGCAGAGTTCTCAAGGGTAATGAGTATTTTATCCCATACACATCTTCAGAGTCCAAAAACCCAGTCCTGGTAAGCTGATACATTCTTTCTGTTGCCAGCTAGAACATTAGGTTTGGTTCTTTTTCCAGGAAGCACAAATACAGCAGGATGTCGTGCTGAATGGCATCAGTGTCTATTTGTAAAACACGTTCCTATTCCGTCATTCGATCTGTACCATTTACAGTATTCCAATATGATGTCTTACCTGAACCCCAAGGGGAACAGACCATGCTAGCAGGGGAACATTATGAAGCCCCAGTGCAGAGGAGACACCCGATGCCAATTACTATGCTATACTTTTTAAAATGTTTCTTTTTTTTTTTCTTTTGTTGTTTTTATGTGTCTTACTCTGTAGCACTTTGAGATTTTAATGGGAAAAAAAAATAATGTATAATTTTTTATTATTATAATTATAATTTATTGCTGCAGGCTTCCTGTCAGCAGAGCCACCCCGCTGCCTGATAAACTGCAGAAGAACAATGTTACCAAGAAGAAAAGGCTGGTGGAGGTTTGTGCTGCTGGCATCATCAGCCAGTGTGGCTACTGGATGTTTACGGATCGATTGGCATTATGGGAACAATCAAACCTGCTTTTGCCCCATCTGAGCTCCAACATCCTTTTCTTGCAGGATCTGGAGCTGGAGCACGTGTTTGGATACAGGGGATTCGACTGCCGAAATAACCTTCACTACCTGAACGACGGCGCTGACATCATCTTCCACATGGCCGCGGTGGCTGTGGTACAGAACCTCAGTACAGGTGCTGCCCGCCTGGCCCGCTGGCATCTCCACACCCGAGCACGATGTCCGGCAGGCGGAGACGCTGAGGCTGCTTCACCCTGCCGTCTAACTGCTGTGTGTCTCCTCTCAGCGGCTCAGAGCTTCTACCTGGAGCATACAGACGACATCCTTTGCCTGACTGTGAACCAGCATCCCAAGTTTCAGAACATTATAGCCACTGGACAGATAGGTGAGAACACACTTAGCTTTGTTTGTTATTAGTCTGGGAAACAAAACCAGTGCCATTGGAAGCCATTCATGAAACCACCAGCAATGCTTTTGCATGTGTGTCTCTGATCTTTATTAGGCTGTTATGAATATGAACACATTTATAAACAAGTTACTAGTGTTGTGATGCCTTGATTGAATCTGTCAGGAAGGATCTCTCTGCTTTTTTATATTGCTCAAATCTTTACTTAGTAGAATTTATAAAATGGACTTTTGTAGAGAAAGGTGCAAGTTCACGTATCTGCAAATGCTTTGTCTGATATTAATATAAAAGTAATATTTGGGGGTAATCTTTCTTCAGAACATGGCATTACATTATCATGATTTATTTTTTTCTGTAACCATAATACAAAGCCTATTTTTAGTTTTGTTTTGTGTGACTTTCACTCAAACAACCATAACCCACTATCCTGTGTTCCAGTTTCATAGCAGCTGTGTGGCAAAATTAGCACCAAATTTCACTCAACTGTGAATCTAAATGTAGCTTCACCTGATAAAAGGACTTTCCTTTAGCATGACTGAACCAAAAGACTCAGGCCCTTGAATCGAGTTTTTATAACATATTGTGCTTTTACACTCTGCATTGTTGCACTTAGCAGGACTAGCTTCTGTTAGTTTTATCTGATTTACTTTGCTCGTGCATGTTGGCCTCTTTTTAGTGCTGACGTCACATACCTCAGCATTAAAAACCGAATAACTCATGCCGGCTGTTTCTGTCTTGACGCTCCTTCATACCATCGCTCTCACATCACAGGTGATGCCCCAGAGCCACCAGGTAAGGGACAGCTACGGTCGTCCCATGTCTGTGTTGTCCCCAGATGCCATGTCATGTTCATAGGCGGTCAGTTCGAAAGACACATCCAAGCTGGAGTGAGTGACATTCTGACACCGGAGCAGGAAACCATGTAGATTTGCATCATAAATGTGAGACTGTCAGCCACCTAATGCTCCTTTCCGTGCACCAGCTCTGCCCAAGAATGTTAAAGGACGTCCAAATAAACAGGCTGGTCTTAAGGCTTTCTGTTTATAATTAGATTTCTTAAGTCGCCAGAGGAGTTAGTCTCACAGCTAACTTCTTAACTTCGAAACCACAGGCAGAATCTTTTTTCTAACATTGCTGTTAGCTTTAAGCCCTTCTGCGGTCCTCGGGTGACAATGGTGCTCTGTGATGTACCTGAGGGTGTGTTTAAGCAGCATGGTAAGGCTGGACAGGCGGGGCAGATGGGGCAGACGGGGCAGATGGGGCAGACGGGGAAGACGGGGCAGGCGGGGCAGACGGGGCAGGCGGGCCCCGCGCTGTGAGACGCGTGACTTCAGCTGTGCCCTTTCTGCAGGCACCACCCCATCCATCCATGTGTGGGACGCCGCCACCAAGGAGACCCTGTCAATCCTGCGCTGTCCGCATGGCAAGGCCGTCAGCTATGTCAGCTTCAGTGCCACGGGGAAGCTGCTGCTGTCCGTGGGGGTGGAGCCTGAACACACCATCACAGTGTGGCGGTGGCAGGAAGGTGAGGGTGGGGTTGGCGGGGGCTGTGTCTGGAGCTGATAATGGCTCTACGAATGTGGATGTAAAATAACTTGGAATGTGAATGTTATTTACGCTGCTTACATTGGGCCGGCCCAAGGTATAAGCGAACTAAGAGGCTGCTTAGGGCCTAGCGGCCACCGGGGGGCACCCTATGTCTGTCAGAATGAGAATGGAGATGACAAAATGACAACTCAATTAATCAGATTTTGCTTAGGGCCCCAAAAAGGGTTCAGGCTTCCTTGCATATGCACCTCTGTTAGATTAGATTAGGTTAAACTGGATTGTTTAATGGTAACTGTCACATGTGCCGCATGGTGGGGTCCAGTGTGTGTCCTTTGCAAACATTAGGAGCCAGAGTCACCAGCAAAGCTGGCCACGTCGACAGAATCTTTGTGGTGGAGTTCAGGCCTGATTCCGACACGCAGTTTGTGTCCGTGGGGATCCGGCACATCAAGTTCTGGACCTTGGCGGGAGGGTCTCTGATCTACAAGAAGGGCGTCTTTGGCTGCCTGGAGAATGGCAAGATGCAGACCATGCTGTCAGTGGCCTTTGGTGCTGTGAGTATGCGGCCATAGCTGGCTGACGGGTCCACCTGCGCAGTTCAGCCGTTTCTCAATCCCCTCTCCTGCAAAGGCCTGTCTTTAGCTTAATCACACCCAACTCGTCCTTATACAGACTCAACGGCCCACATACAGTAGCTGTATGTTCTATCTGTAATCTAAACCCTGATGCCAAAGGGGTCTTTCTTTAGTAATCATTCCCCCTGCTGATTTGTGATGTCAGTGTTGACCTCCGTCTCCCATCCCCCAAAGAATTACCCCCCCCCCCCCCCCCAAAAACTACCCCCCCCCCCCCCCAGGATCAATAAAGTATGTCTCACTTTAACTGTATCATATGTTTGCAGACTAGCTGTAACTGTTTCGTACCATGACACTATTGAAACTCCATTACTGTTCATTTAAAAATATTTTTCCCTTATTTTCCCTTATTAACACTTATTTGCATCGACACGTATTTCCTCTGTTCCGTTAATGGCCGCTGTTCCTCTCCGTTCACAGAATAACCTCACATTCACGGGTGCCATTAACGGCGACGTGTACGTGTGGCGTGAGCACCTGCTGGCGCGAGTCGTGGCCAAGGCGCACACTGGGCCGGTGGTCAGCATGTACACCACGCTGAGGGACGGGCTCATCGTCACCGGGGGCAAGGAGAGGCCGTGAGTACCCACAATGCTTTGGGAGACGGGCACAGGCCATGCTCCTTATTCTCAAGCCGAAATATAATAACAGTAACCATGAAAGAGAAATCGCCTGTTTTTGGGCGGTGTTTTGCTATAGTGGGTACAGCTATGGCTACCTTCAGGCCTGTGAGATTGTTTTCTAGCCCACCCACTCTCTGTGGGATTTATGTTTTTCCTCCTATTCTCTGGGTTTTCTCTATGTTCCCTGCTTTCTTCTTACATTCCAGTTTAGTAATATTTGTGTTTCTAAATTACTCATAGTGTTAATGTGTGCCCAGGGATAGACTGGAATCCCAACCAGAGTACCCCTGGTCTTCATTTTCCTGAGCCAGGCTCCAGCCATCATGGAAAATAGATGGACCAAGAGTTTGTTGTAATGTAATTGATACTGGTTGAGGTTAAGGGTTGTCTCTCGTCTCAGGTGACCGGGTTCCCCTGTAATCACTCTGAGTGTCTGTGTGTGTTTGGCGGACATTGTAGCACTAAGGAGGGTGGGGCGGTGAAGCTGTGGGACCAGGAGCTGAAGCGTTGCAGGGCCTTCCAGCTGGAGACGGGCCAGCCGGTGGAGAACGTGAGGTCTGTGTGCCGGGGGAAGGTGAGGAGCCGCAAAGGCCAGTTGTGATTCCTGTTCCCCGCCAAGGTGTTCCTGGGCCACCCGAGAGAGAGAATCTCTCTGGTCTCCAGTTGGACATGCCTGAAGCACCTCCCTGGGGAGTCACTAGATAGATGCCTGAACCATCTCAGCTGGCTCCTTTTGATGAGAAGGAGCAGCAGCTTTAATTTGAGCTCCTCCAGGATGTCTAAGCTTCTCACTCTCATTTCTGAGGCTGAGCTCAGACACCCTGTGAATGAAACTCATTTCCACCAAGGTACTGGGAAATCGATCGCTTTACCTTTTGGCTCAGGTCTCTCTAACTGGTAAAATGTCCACATGCACTGGTCCGCTTCTTCCCTCACACGTGAACAAGATCCCAAGATACCTATCCTCTGTTTGAGGCAGAAACTCATCCCCAACCTGGAGGGGGCAATCCACACTTTTCCAGTTGAGAACCATGACCTCAGACTTGAAGGTGCTGATACTCATCCCGGCTACCTCAGACTTCATTGAGCTGTAACCCCAGTGTACGCTGGAGGTCACAGTTCAATGAAGACAATCTGCGAAAAGATGTAATCCTGAGGTCAGCATAATGGACATCCTTGCCCAATTGGCTGTACCTGGAAATTCTGTTCATAAAAGTTAGGAACAGAATCGTTGACAAAAAGCAGCCCTCACGGAGTCCAGCACCCACTGGGAATGAGTCTGACATTCAACCGGCATCCAAGTTGCATATGTTTATTTAATTGCATTCTCTCTGTTAACAAGTTGTCTAACATTCTAATGAGACAGTATCAGACAAGGGAGATGTAATGTTAGCTTTGTATCTTTGTGCCGTTTTCTTCTTCTTAGGCTACTTTGTGCCAGTTTGCTTGACAGGGAACAATCAGTAGACTCCAGTGCAGCTTTGCCTTTTCTTAAAATTGTTGCTAAAAATGCAGTTAACAAACACATTGAAATCATGATCATATTATGTTATATCCTTAAATGTAACTACTGGACATTCTGTCTTCACGGGGTCCCTAGATTTCTGGGGCCCCAGAAGGCTGCCTATCCTTGCTATACAGTACGTGCACCCCTGCATGTTTCGATGGACACCTTGAAACCTGCTCACTATGCCTAGTCAGCAAGGGGCATTGGCCCTGCACTGGTTTCCTTTCCTTGCCTCCTCCCGTTCCGGTTGCATGGTACAATCCCCTTGACATTGCGACTCATTGGTTTAGTGAATTCTCAGAGATCATGTGTAGGGGTTGTTCTATATTAGTGTTTCTTAAACAGCGGTCCGCAGCCCAGTAGCAGACCGCAAGCAGCCTCTATTGGGCTGTGGAACTGTGGCAGGGAAATGCAGTTTGGTCCATAATGGGCCGTCGGATGGATGCAAACCCGATTGCCACCTGGAAAATTCCCTAGTTGCCAATATTTACCATTGAGATAGGGCTGGGTGATTATAAATGATGTGTACAGACTTCTTGTTATATAAACTTCACCGCAAATGAGTGGTGAGGTAGTCAGAGAAAAAACATAGTAACAAGCATTACTGCAGGTGTATAACTAGTGTCATGCCCTACGACAGACTTTTGTTTAGTTTGCAGTTCATACAGTTTGTTGCCTTTTATTTGTTCCAAATCTGGTTAAGGGCAATTCTAATGGCATTTTAAGGAAAACAGAACCTTAAAATAAAGAAATAATGACCGCAGATGGCAAAATCTACTGACTGGTCAAACTGTGTATGTAAATCACATACATAGTCTTGCCTTTTAAGGAGTCGGGTGATATGATTTTGCAGTGTGCATCTAACCCATGTGGCAAGTTTATCAAAGTTGTTTTTTGTTTTACATGTGACAATAAGGGCAGAGGGTCTTGGCTCAGTTTGTCTCTGCACCTAAACTCCTATAGTATAATTATTATGAAAAAAAGTCTGAGAGATATCTGTAGTCTTGAAAATGACACGCATTTTCCATCCTGCTCCTGTTTAAATTTAAGCCTAAGTCATCCATACCATGATGACCCTGTACTGGGTGAATGGATGGATGAGTTGGAGGCGTTTTGGTATGTTTTGTTTACATTTCTTTTTTTTTCGCTTTTCACCTGAACAAGGGGAAGATACTAGTAGGAACAAAGGATGGAGAGATCATGGAAATTGGAGAGAAGAACGCAGCCTGTAACCTCATGACCAATGGACACACGGAGGGAAGGATATGGGGTCTCGCCGCCCACCCTTCCAAAGACATGTTCATCTCAGCCAGCGATGACGGGACCATCCGCATCTGGGACCTGGCTGACAAGGTGAGCGCTTCTCAAATGTGTACGCTAACAGGTTAGCACATCTTCAGTTGGCCCATGGGTGCAGATAGTACTGCATCATCTCTGAGACCCTGTACTGAAAGGTCGTAAATTCTGAATATGGCAAAAATTGGCTTGCCGTCATTTAAGACAAATTATGCTTCACTTTTCTGTGTGTGCTTATTGTCCACATTGATAGATTTCTTCAGTGAAACCTCAGGTTCCATTAGAGTCGAATGATGAGGCAAGTTCCTTTAGCTTAAGGAGGTTAAGACAGAATGAAGATGTTACAGGAAGATGTTTCACACGGCTGGTTCAGTGTCTGTCTGGGTCTGTCTCGGCCCCCTCTGAGGGAAGCAGGCCGTTTATCTGTGGTCTCCGTACAGACTCCTAGAGCCTTGGTGAGAATGCATTGTATGAGATAGGCAAAGAACATAATGAGCAAGTAGCAAGGACAGAAAGAAATATAAGAAATATGAAAGCTATAAATGAGTGAACTAAATGAAAATAATTAAATAACCAAAAATTAACTAGGGAAACCCTTCAGTACCCTCTATGATTCTATGGAAAACAAAACACATTGAATCATCATTAATAACTGCTTACAATAAGTACATGACCGATCATGATATAACTAGCGGTTATAATTAGCGGCTTCATCTGTGAGTGCGTTTCCTTGACTTTCCATTGTGTCCGCTTTAGTGTGACCTTTGCACTTCATGACTGTTGGCCCAGCAGGGAGTTGGATTGCATCAAGTCCAGCAATTGTTCATTTTTCACTGGTGTCCCGGCTGCAGTTAGGACACATTTTCTGCACAGAAGTCCAAAATCATGCTCACTGGAGGCGTATCTGGAATCTGTATACACAACGGCTGACTGATTTTCTGCAATTTTGCATGCTTCACTGAGTGCTTTTAACTCAGCTTGTTGTGCTCATGTGCCTCTAGGCGTGTTGCTGCTCGCAATCGTCTGCTTGTCTGTCGTTTACCGTCCATCCAGCACATCTCACACCCCCCTCGACCACTGATGAACCATCGGTGTACAACACCAAGTTAAAAGTTAAAATGGTCAAGTGCAGGGGGAGAGTCCAGGCTAATTGTGTTGCAAGGTTTTCAAAATGCCATGATATGCCATATTACCGTAATAGTAGCCAAGCCAGGTAACAACTATCTAAAAGTTTCACAACACTGCTTTGCGATACATCTGCCCTTTGCTGATCTGGTGGAGTATCACTGCTGTGAGGCATGTGCTGAACATCTGCGCCCATGGACAGACGTAGACAAGAGCCCTTGTGCACGATCATGTGTGGACTGTGAGCACACATGGAAAAGTGAAGCATGAACTAGGCTTTAGAAGGGTTTCCCTGGCTCTATAGACGTCTGCTCAGGACCTGTCAAAAGGAGCAGAGATGGGAATTTAGCAGGTGAGATTAAATAGCACATAGGACTGTTTCACCTCTGTTCTTTGTCGTTCTCACAGAAACTGCTGAATAAAGTGAGCCTTGGCCACCCAGCCAAATGTGTGAGCTACAGCCCAGACGGCGAGATGGTGTCTGTCGGCATGAACAACGGCGAGTTCATTGTCCTCACGGTCAGCTCGCTCACTGTGTGGGGCAAGAAGCGCGACCGCAGTGTCTGCATCCAGGACGTCCAGTGAGCAGGCAGACCGCCAGTCTCCCCGGGGGAGGGGCACCAGGCGGGTTGCTAAGCTCTCGTGTCGCTCGCAGGTTCGGTCCGGACAGCAAGCTGCTGGCAGTGGGCTCGCTGGAGAACACGGTGGATTTTTATGACCTGACGCTTGGCCCCTCGCTCGGCCGCATCGGCTACTGCAGGGACATCCCCAGCTTCGTCATCCAGATGGACTTCTCTGCTGACGGAAGATACCTCCAGGTTTGTTGTGAGAGTGACACTTGATAAGCACAGTCCACCAAGATGGCAGCCACATATATAACCTGACATGTGTGTTTGTCCCAAAATATAGATCGACAAACGGATATATGTAGTAATGCGATGGCAGGAATCTGGCACATATCCGAAGGGTCACATATCATGATACAGGTGCACAGTAATAACAGTTTCCTCATGGTCAGCCTATAAACCACCTGTAATGAATAAGAAAAAAAATATCCTGATATAATACAAGCACAGCACACCACGGATTATAAAGTATGCTAAAGCATGAACACAATTGGACCTCCGTGAAACAGTATTTTTAATAGTTTTACTGTCAGGGTTCTTCGATAGTCACTGTTTGTCACTGTTTGTGACTGCAGCCATTGTGCCTGTCTCTGTAGGTGTCCACAGGATGCTACAAGCGTCAGGTGCATGAGGTCCCCACAGGGAAAGTGGTATCAGAGCCGTCTGTTACAGACAAAATCACATGGGCCTCCTGGACCAGGTAAATGAGCCAGATGGCTTGTACAGCTAACAGTCTGGAGCGAGCAAAGCTCTCCTTAGCCAGTTTGGCTGTGCTTGGGAATGAGGGCTGTGTGTCACTGTTCCTCATGAAACATCCCATTTAGTTGGTTCTTTTAGCATGTTTTATACAGTTTTAATGCTCCCCTCAGTCTTAGGTAAAAAAAACTCCTGTTGTGCCCGAAAGCCCTTTTGTCTTGACTTGACTTGACTGGACTCTGCAGCACCCAAGGAGATGATGTGCTGGGAATCTGGCCCCACAATGCGGAAAAGGCCGATGTGATCTGCGCCTCCGTCTCCTGCTCCGGCCTCAACGTGGTCACGGGAGACGACTTCGGCCTCGTCAAGCTGTTTGACTTTCCATGCACTGAGAAGTTTGTAGGTGCCTTCAGCTGGTTTGCCCTGTGCCATACTGATGCCCACGTTTGCCACGTGCTGGATTTATATTGGTGCCTGCATTTCCTATTCTTTGCAGGCCAAACACAAGCGGTACGTCGGCCACTCAGCTCATGTGACCAATGTTCGTTTCTCCTACGATGACAAATATGTGATCAGCGCTGGGGGTGATGACTGCAGGTATGGGGACTTTTATTATGAAGTTACTTTTATTATGAAGTTACTTTTATTATGAAGTTACTTGAGTCTTAAGATGGGCTTCCTATTAATCTACCATGTCTCCTGTCCCTCCCACAGTGTTTTTGTGTGGAAATGCCTGTAGTGACTCCGGCCTTGTGCTACAGCGTCTGTCCCTGGCAGCACAGCGACATCACAGGAGGACACGCTGATGAATACCTCGATTTTACGCAGATGTGCCATGTCGGGCTCCTGACGGGACAGAGGTCTCCCCGTGTTTGCTGCCATTATAAATCACAAAGTATTTCCCTAGCCAGTAAAAACCTCAAGTTTACGTTTCACTTCACAGAAGGCTGACAGGACCTGTTAAGGGGCAGTGTCTTGGGCAGATAAATTCACCTACCTGCTGTACCAAAACTACTGTTTTCATCAGTAGATAAGTGCCTTTAAAAAGTAAAAGTGATTTTTATATGTTTAAAACTCAGTATAAGAAATCATTGTGAGGTGTATTTTGGTGCTATCAAATATTAAACTGAGGGCTATAATGAGTTTCATCATAGAGACATAAAACCTCAGAAGCCTTTTCAGGCATGTGTACTGTTGTTTTGGGGGTGAAGAGCAATGAATAGCAACCTACAGTCTATGTTAGATGTGTTTCAGTATACGTCAACGGATGTGTAGAAGTACATTTGATTATAAAATTAGATTAAGAAAAGTATTAATGTGATGACCAAGTTCCTATCCCTATAACATATACAGTGGTACCTTGGTTCTCGAACTTAATCCGTTCCGGACTCCGGATCGAATCCTAAAAAGTTCTGATTGAATTTTTCCCATAAGAAATAATGGGAAACCAATTAATTGGTTCCCGGCCCCCCAAAATTACACCTAAATATGTTTTTTTTTTTTTTTTTAGCATTTAAACACAAAATGAACAGGATAAAACAAGTAGAGCATTTTTTTCTTAATGGCTTCCAAAACGATAAAGATCTTATCTCATTCTGATCCTGACGCAATGCATTACGGTTAGATGCATTGCGACCTCTCACCCGGCTGCACAAACTGGAACCGCCTCCGTGACGACACACCTTTGCCCTTATTGGCTGAAGAGTTTAGTTACACGCATGACGTTTGTATTCCAGGCCGTTCCGATGCGTAATCTGCTATTTCTCCCGAATATCACGTAAAGCAGTGAGAACTGGTTTTCAGTTAATTTACCTGGTAAATTAAAGTTTAAAGAAATGCTCGAATAGTGCACGTAAGTTAGTGGTTTATTTATTGTTAGTTACTGTAATGTTGCGCTGCTTTATTTGGTTAATCATCCAGTCTGTGAAGAAGGCATTCAAGTAAGAATTGCATTGTAGTATGACTCATTTCCTGGCGCGTACAATTTATATGAGGTCAGCGTTCACGGTTCGACTACTGATATTCAGATCGAGTTCTAGGTCAAACTGGTTTGTTCGACTTTCAAGAAATTCGAATTCTAGTGAGTTTCGAGAACCGAGGTACCACTGTACTTGTGACTGTAGACAAACACCAAAAGATACCGAATTCTGTACCCAAGATAACTATGCATCATAAACTGGTTAAACTGTCCCCACATCCAGTGTTACTAATAATCTGGTGCCCCCTTACGTATGCAGGATGACACCTTCAATTAGTTCTGAATTATTGTCTGTCCTTCAGTAGCTGTGTAACAAGCATGAAATGAATGGTGAAAGTATTATTTTTTGTAAAACTGTCTTTTAAAATTTCTTTAAAATGTGTATAATACTGTATATGGCTTTACAGTACATGATCCAGACCTTAAATGTTGTTTACATTTTGTGACATTTCAATGAGGTTCCCTTTATGTGTGTAGGTACTGTGTAGTTGATATGTTTCATAATGAATGTGTTAATGTGCAGATGTTCAGTGTATCTGGAAGAAATATAAAGATCAAAACACAAATCATGTCATTTTGTCCTACTTTCCATCTAGTAATATATAAGTTATTAAAGTAATTTATTTTCAAGAAAAAATAAATATACCTCCTCCGGTCACAGAGCACCTCCATGGGTCAAAGAATGCCTCCGCTGGTCACTGCGCCTCCCTGGGACACAGTGCACCTCTCTGGGACACAGAGTGCCTCCTGGATTCATAGTGCATTCTCATGTCACAAAGCACCACCCTGAGACACAATGCAATCCCGAGTCAAAGAGCTCCTTCCCAGGTTACAGAGCACCTCCCTGGGTCACAGAGCACCTTCCTAGAGCACAAAGAGCCTCCCCAGGTCACAGATCGCTTCCTCGGGTAGCAGCACATTCCTGGATCACAGAGCGTCTTCCTGGGTCACTCCACATTCCCAGATCACAGAGCACTTTCCTGGGACACATACTGTAGCCCCTCCTCAGNCAGAGCGTCTTCCTGGGTCACTCCACATTCCCAGATCACAGAGCACTTTCCTGGGACACATACTGTAGCCCCTCCTCAGGTCACTGCACATTCCTCGGTCTGTTCCAGTTCTATGTGACGTGAGTTGTCTTGATTGCACGATGCTCTGCCCCCTTGCTGCAACTGGCCAAAGTGCCCTTTGTTCTGGTTCAGTGTACTGGATAAAGCACTTCATGGCTGTGTCCACATTCAGGGTCTATGTAGTCATTGTAGGCTGCGTTCTTTGAAAGTGCATCTTAGAAGCTGAACCTTCAGTCGGCATGTGATTGATACTCACTATTAGGTTTACTGTGTAGAACAGGGGCGGGCAAACATATCCGCAAAGGGCCGGTGTGTATGCAGGTTTTTGGCATAACATACTGTAGGTCAGCTGTTCCAACCCAGGTGTGAGGACTCTTCAGCAAATCAGTCCACTAATTAGTAATTTAATTAGGTTGCAGTGAAAACCAACATAAACGATCAGACTGCCTACCGCTGGTGTAGAGTCACTCCTGCTATCACATCCAACCTGAAGGGTAATGATGCTCAGTACTTACACTACAAACTCAATCTATCTTCAAGGACCTTTTGTTTTGAAAGCCAGGTTTTCTTATGCTGTGGATTCTCTCATTATGTCTTGAATAATTGTCTAATCTGCCTAGAAACTTCCGTCTGCTTGCAGATTTTACTTCTCAAGTAGAATCTTATCAAGACATCATGAGAAAATAATCCTGCAAATCTGGTCATTTTTTTTTATCCATTCATAACAATTCACATGACCCTGCTTGTGAGGTTAAGGGTGGTATAGTTAAATCTGATAAGTTCGTAATGGGTAAACCATTTTAATGAATTTTAAGTCATTAATTTTTAAAATTCCGAATACTGTTGAACACATAAATGGTGCCAACATTGCTGCTCACCGCTTTTTAAAAATTTTACTGCTTTTTCCCTCTGACTATTGTTGGCAAAGCACTGAAAGCACTAAAACCCGAGTACGGAAATCAGACGGCTCCTGTCGTTTTAAAATCATGCGCAAATGATAATGTCAAAAATTGCAATCATTTTAACCAGCACTAGGTGCCGCTAAATGCGCACTTAGCAAAGAGCACCACCTCCATCTCCTCTCTAAAATCAGAACAGAAACGGCAAGTGCTTAAACACCCAGGACTATTGATATTGTTTTAACCCGTTTCTTAGTATAGTGTAAGTACTATAACATTCCTACATATGTTCATAGGTCTATTATAGCAACAAATGGTCACAGTACTTGAATTATCTTTATTGTAGTACCTTTAGTGCAGGGTTGTCCTGGGGGACTAGAGCCCTGCACATTTTTGGGTTTCCCCTCATTTAACACACCTGATTTACCTCCGTGCAACTCCTTATGCTAATTACCACACAGCTCTTGAACCAAATCTTTTGTGGGGTAACAGGGAAAGGACTAAGCTTCACAGGGCTCCGGCCCCCCAGAACTGGAGTTTGACATCCCTGCTTTAGTGGAAGTGGAAACCTCTTGAATTACTGAATTTTCAGTCTGTACATGTCATAGAAAAGGAAACCTGCTCTTTCTGGAAGTATGGCAGTTGCTCACCCAGGGTTATCCCGTCTTTATATGTGAAGATGTTCTTGTTAATTATTTATCTCCTTTTTAAAGAGACAATACCTTATTATTGATATTGGCAAATAAACTAAGTCTTTGAATTTGGTTCCAAGCAAACAGGTTCCTAAGCTTTCAGGTAAATCACACTACTGATCACAGCATCATGTCCAGCATGAGCTTTCTCAACCTGTCGAGCGAGCAGAGGCGAGGAAGGAGAGCATCGGGCTGAGCCCCAAGCCGTACCTCACAGTCTGGGTCAGGAGCTTCTGAGAGCAGAGCTCCATTTGTCTTTGGCCTCTCAGCTCTGTTTCTTCAGAGATTAATGCTGATTAAGTGTCCTGATGAATGTCCTCAGTGTTCCAGAGCGTCCCGCGCCGTGAAGGTGCATCCTGGTCAGGAAGGCCAGCCAGCTCGTCTGCAACATGCAGCATCAGCTATTGCTTTTCTCTGTTTCTGTGCTGAAGACAGTGTTCCTGTTCTAAGTATTACCATACTCGCATTGTGCTTAAAGGTACTCGCAATGTTTATTTCTAGTGACTGGATGGGATGCAAATTCAGTCAATGAAGAATTTTAATGGGAAAAAAGCAGCTGACAAATCTGCAGCAACTGCATGATGCTGTCATGTGAATGTGGACCAAAGTCTCGGAGGAATACTTTAAGCACCTTGTTGAATCTATGTCATGAGGAATTAAAGCAGTTCTAAAGGCAGAAGGGGGTCCATCCCGTTACTAGTAAGGTGTACCTAGAAAAGTGACCAGCGTGTGTATGTGTATAGACACAGTTGTCATGTCCCTTTCCATGGCTTGTGGTCAAATTTTATTTTATTGTTCTATCGACCTTTTGAGTTTTGCTTTCCTGTGCTCTCACGGTTTCTTTGTTTCTTACACACTTTGCCAACTGTGTAATGTATATAAGTACGGAGTTGTGCTAACAATATTGCGTTTGCATGCTTTTGAATTTAGCTGCTCTTTCTGAGGTGTTCTGTGGTTAGCATGCTGGAACGGGCCTGGGACGCTTGTGGGTGTACTCCTTATTAAAATACCCCCTCTGCGATCAGGCAGAAAAATAAAAGGCATCTCCATTTCCCGGGGCGTTTGAGTGAATGCCAGCGACACTCAGGGATACTTAGTGGGACTAAGGCCAAGGCTGTCAGGACACAATGGCTGACATGTGGCTGGGCGGGTCCTAGTGTGGACTGTAGCTCAGACAAAACCCCGATCCTATCACGTCATGACTCTGTGTGAGCCTGGCCCAACACCAAAGGTCCTGTGGCGGGGGTGCGCCTTCTGTTATTAAAAACCATGCTTGGGGAAGCTCGTGGTTTTATTGTCAGGAAATCCATCACACCCCCTCCAGGTTGAGACATTAGATGTTGAAGGATTTTTTTTATCCAGAAGGACAACCAATATTATCCACCGAGCGGTTTTTCCAATAAGCACTTAGTAATTAAAAAAATCCAAAATGCAAATGTGGTCCCCATTTAGAAGTTAAAGGGTGCATGCTGATCGTAGAGCTATTTTTGGGGCAAAACCAATGGCCTATAAAAAGACAATGGAGAAAAACAAGTGATTTTAACGAGAAAACAGGGATGGCTAAATCGATGCAGGGCACTGAAGGGGAGAGAAAACCCCCGACAGTGGCGTGATGCTAAGCTTGGGGGCCTCGCCCCACCCTTGCACCCCCCTACTCCCCCCTTGAATCACATTCAGAATCATTTCGATCACACATATTGCTCATTCTCAAATTTTGCGGTACAATAGCTGAACCTGCTTGCTGTATGTATTGAGTTGGGCCGCAGAGTTTTCTATCTGCAAGCTGCTCGGATGGATGAGTAGCTAAGAAAATGGCCGC